TGGCATTTGTAAAGCCCTTTATCAGAGGTCATCTAGGGATCAGTAAAGGTACACCCCGTGAAAAGTAATATTTAGGACGGATTGTGTGTAAGTGCTCCAGACTGCTGAAAGTTACCTACGTCATGGGAACAGAGTCTGGGAGTATGTCGACACGTGTGTGAACGTTGGCCGCGCCGCAATCACGTGTAACGAAGTAGAAAACTAAAATAAACATAAATACCAGACTATTGAAAACATAGGGCCGGTATACACCGCAGTCTTATTATTTTCGACTTCATCCACACCAAAATGTGTGTTTGTTTCAGTGTGCGCTTGTGTGTGTATGTGTGTGTGTGGGGGGGGGGGGGCTATAGCTGTCTCCAGTGATAAAATATATGTTGTGGTCATGGAAACAACTAAATTACCTATAATCTAATTATTTTGTCTAGACAGCCTCAATGAACAGATCGCAAACGGCTACTCCGTTAGTTTGCAATTTGGTTTATTTTCCTATGCCATGCGAACACTGCACGTCGTTACGCTCTGCCTTATGCCAGGTGTAACGCCACGCGCCGCCACGGTCCGTCCTTTGTCAGTGGCTAAATATTGTCTGTAGTTTTCACAAACATCTGCCAAAATCCACGTTTCAGTAACTTTTACTACTTGGCGTTCAACGTCATTTTTGCTCTCGTAAAAGGTTATAGACATTTATTTTCTACGCCATGCATCAACTGTAATCTCACCAAATCACCTGACATCTTGTGCACCATTTCCTTCTGTTTTGTTTTGTTATTCTATCACGTACAAACATCAAGCACAGTTTCATATTATGTATATGAAATATTTCTGAGAGGGTCAAGGTGGAGCAACCAACGTAACCATATTGAAGCAGATCTGATAGATCCAGAGAATGAATGAGAACAACATCAGATTAATACTATGTGAACAATGTGTGTATATGTGATGAAATTAAAAACTACGATATACTGTAAACTATAGTATTTATAGAGTTGTGTGAAAATACAAGCAATGCTATACCGTGACGTGATATGCATGACAGTCTAATGTGCATGGCGTGCATCTTGATATTAGACGGATACCGACAGGGGCCCAATGAAAACGAGCACCTCTGCATGCACACACGGTTACTTCTTCTAGTAACAATTATAATACATAGGATGTTAGTAGTTGGTAGTCAAAATACTTGATAATAATGTCGTCGGACGTTTCCGGTAATAACGATGGGGAGAGGGAGCATTGTCCACCAACACGTCTGGATATACATGTATTGAATATTTACCTATACTACCAATGGCTATTTTTATTTATTATATTTTCTAGCAGCTTTCACCAATTTTCGTATTTTATAACTCAATATATGGTATTGTAATGTTACAACACGACATGCATAATGAAGTGGCGATGGTGACCGATACTTATGATATGCTGTCCGCTAGAAATGTGGGCAAGTCGTTGCACGTAATGAAAGCCATTACTGAAATGGCTCTGATAAACATTGTTGTTTACAGCATTTTCAAACCTTTCAAATTCGTCTAGTTTTTTCCAGATGATATCAGAAATATGATTAAGAATTGTATCCATTTGGTCAATTCACAAGTAAATTATTTTAGTGAAAACAATGATGCGGTTCAAAGTACGAGATGCGATATTTAAATATGATGTCCGTATTATTGTTTAATTCTAAAATAATTAATTGTCTGACGTTTACGTTGAATAACAACGATGCACCGAGAGACGAGACGACACGGATGGGCGCACTATTCAAATACAGACAGGTCCATTAGCAGCGCTAAATGTTTCGGCGAGATAATGTGAATCTAAAATAAACAAACACATTCAATTCGAACCGTATAGAGAGAGTTACACACATGCTCAAATCAGTCATCGTGGAATTATATTTTGAGAGTGCTGGTTTTATCAAAATTATACAAATTCAGAATTATAACAAGTAACTTTTGCATTGAGTGGTTTTTACGTACGTACCATATTTCACTGTTACAGTGTCCAACTGTTTTGTCATTGTCTGTTCTTTTTAAATAATAAATTATTATATGTGGTTTATATATGAGAATTCTCAGACATTCATATCGGCTAGATTATTTCGTTACCGTGACGACACTGACACATAATAATTCATCATCTGGATTTGTAGTTGCTTTATTTAGGTGACATAATCGTGTTTCTATGGTAACATGAGGTTACGTCGGTTAGCCACAACTGGATGGTATTTTTATAATATTTTTGATGGATATTTGGTAGAATGGTGGCATGAGGATTATCGACACAAATGTCACCTTCAGCTACACGTATATGTTTCAGTAGCTAGTACATATGACAATGACGTCATATTGTAGATGGAAAACAATCCTATCTATAGTAAAATTACATTGTATTCACATCTGAAAATCAACATTAGCAATTCACAATGTGTTTATATTGGTGTACAGTGCAATCCAGACCAGTGTACAGCATGGTGTATATTTCACTGTGTTGGCGATGGGATTGACTATTCATTGCCATGATACTAATTGTTATGAATGCTATCTTTGACATACAATATATCAGGGTAGTTAGGATTGCAGGTGTCTCGTTACCTGGGCACCGTAGCATGGTGTATGGGACATAGTAAGTCTACAGTCGTCAAAACGTTCGCTTTATTATATGTGTGTTCGTATGAGACGTGACAATTGATCTGTATTGGAAAGTTTGACTTGTGCTGTTTTTGTTTTTGTTTTTTTAGGTTTAGTTCTTTTGTTATTTTTCCTGTGTATGTAGTCATTTTCATTCCCTGTGAGTGTTAAATAAATAAATAATGAATAAATGAATGAATGAATGAATAAATGAACGGACGAATTAATGAATGAATAATGGTGGGTGAACGGGCGCACGACAGACGAAGAAAGAAACAAAAAAAAGGAAAGAAAGGCAGATCCCACTATCACAGTTATCACTCAATCACAGTTATCATAGAAATCACTCTATCATAAAAATCAGTCAATCATATGAATCACTCTATCACAGAAATCAGTGTAATCGTACATATTGATGATTTAAGTGTATTACATCACTAGAGTGACGCTGAGAACTGGGTCATTCATGCACGCTACCTGTCGTCGTGGGTTACTTGTAGACGCACATAAATACCTGTGTATCGTCGGTGATTTCGATCGTAACAGTTATTTCGAAGCTGGATTGCCGACATTGATTGGCATTACCCCCACAACAACAACATTATATCTAGTAATATGTTCTCCTAGATTGAGTGGTATTAGCCATTACAGTTCTGGAGAGTGATGGTCCGTCACGTTATTCGTCATACTGTTAATGCTTTATTTTAATATATGCATATAGATATTACAAAGATTTGTAATTAGTACTAGTACACTTATACATATTATATGTCCGCGTGCATCGCAGTCAAAATGCGTTTACAACTTGGCATGTTGCCAAATTATATTTATTCAATCGTCGGATGCATGTATGTTGCGATGAAGGAACCAAACTTGAATAAATTGGCACAGTGCTACTGAAAACCCAGACAACATATTCACACATTAACGAGTTCTCACTAAAATATTAAACTTGGCCTTTATCTCTGGCCAGGGTGTTAACGCGATGTAAAACATCGTTAAACTATTATAGACTGTGAACGCATTACACTGTCATTCAAGTTATCCGTGCACGCTCATACTTGTTTTTCGAAAGTATTGAAATTTCGAATATTTGTGCTTTTTATTTTATAATATTGAAAAAAAATCTAATTCCAATTTTAACTTTGTTTAGCGACACTATTTTTTTGTATTTTTAAAATACTTTTGTTGAAATGAAAATAAAAATTATATTTGCTGTTAGAAACGGAACGAGGCACAGAACAAATCACAAATTCCAGGTTGATACACATTTTTGAAAACTTGGCAGATTTAGACTGTGCAAAATAGTCATGTTACATATACCAACATGGACACAAGTAAAGTGTGGGCGAGACAGATGTTAATTTTATAAACGTTGAGATGATTACAAGGAAGCGTGTTGTAGCGAACAGCTGTTGAGATATGTGTATGTGATCACCATTGGAATGCTACTTGCCTTCAAACATCAAAACCCGCCTACGATACCCCGGCACGAGACATGCTGTGTTGAGGGGTCACTATAACACGATCTACCAATGGCACATTCTGAACGTGGAAGAACACTTTATCATAGACAGGGAGAACAAGGAGATAAGAGAAATTATTGAACTGGTATACACCGATTTTTTACAAGGCTAAACGCAAAATACCCCGTACCTCAGTATGACCATGGAGGTAGAAATTTCTACCTCCATGGTATGACTGTGCAGTCAGAACCTGGTGTGACGTGACGTAACATAAAGCAGACGGACGTGCAAAGTACAGACACACACGTCATGACAAACACCCTTGACATCCGAAAAGTAAATATTGTCCTTTCTACATTTAGTCGAGTGAATGCTGCATTCCCTTGTGTGACATGTAATAGTTACCTAGAGGAACTGTGAAAAGGTCTTCAAATTTGTGTTTTGCATTTGATGATATCTGTATTGGCTTCAGACAGGGGGTCGCAGATAAAATTGTTGTGACAACGGCTGCTCCATTTCGCCGGTTATGGAGAGCGCTGATTGGTTCCTTAGTTAAACAATGACATCACTCCCGTTCAAAGGATCTGTCTTGAAAGACATATTGCTTGGCACGTGGTCTGATAAGATGGGTCACGTCCTTGTGAGTGTAGCTCCGAATTTGGTCAAAAATACTCTAGAAAAAGTAGTAAACGCAAAAATCGTTCTGTAGATAGAGTCAATGCTATGTTTGCTATGAACTTACGAGAGATTTAACAAATATATTGAATACTTTGTGAGATTTTGAGCTATACATTTCGAGATATCGTATTAACATTCTCGGGTGCCGGTATTGTTCAGTGCGATTGTTAGTGGCGTTGTAAATAATTCATTGAGGGCGGAGTTACGCATTGATCGGGCACACACTGTGCGAAGCAAGTTGGTTAAGAGCAAGTTGACAGAGACGTGTTTTATTTAGCACAGTCAGCCGGTCTGTACACACACACACACACATCAGACGACCATCGTGCAAGTCGACCGTCCACAGATCAACACAGGAATATTATGTGCCTTATGTTTTTGAGATAGTACAGTTAAGGAAAAAAACTACCATACCCAAGCAACAACAAGTATATACAGAATGTCGACGATACAGACCCAGCAAAAAGACACTACTTTTACTAAGCTCTTTGTGGGAGGCTTGCCCTACAGTACAACAGACAAATCGTTACGAGAGTATTTCGATAATTTCGGCGAGATCGAGGAAGCTGTAGTGATAACAGACAGGCAGACGGGCAAGAGTCGAGGCTATGGATTCGTAAGTGTAAATTCTGTGTTGCATATAAACATATTCTGTCATTGTTCGTTTCAGTGACGACCCTTGTATTCTCGACGTTTAAAGTTTGTGCATGATAAGTGTACCAGTCGTGAACACTGACTGCCACTTGTCAATAATTACGTGGCGTAATAGCAATTCGATTTGGCTGCGACAAGAATGGGTACCAATCTATGTCATCCATGTTTCAGCTTTCCTGACGATCGATTGGCGACAAATCAACACCAGTGAGCTCGAAAGTGAAAATGTTATGAGTTTTCACAAAAATTTAGTTTGGTTCTCTGAGTTGTTGTTGTTGTATACATGTAGTCTTTTAATGCGTGTCGATTTGCTTCTTGTCAGGTAACGATGGCTGATCGACCAGCTGCGGAGAGGGCCTGCAAGGACCCAAACCCTATTATCGATGGGAGAAAAGCTAACGTTAATTTGGCATTTATCGGTGCCAAACCAAGAGGAGTTCCGCATGGTAAGTATCAAAGAACATGCTTTTTTTTTTATCTCATCTCATTATCTCAAAATAACAAACGACTTGTTTAGTGCGATTTCTGTTATCAGTATGATAGGTAGAATTGGGGCATGGTTCTGTCTGTTCTATGTGCACAGTACGCTGACCACAACATGCCTCACTTGAGACAAGTCTTGTCATTAAAATTACCACCTCTATAATTTTACTGCCAGTCGACATGGTGCACACGTCATAGAAACGACCTCGCCACCCTTCATCTGACATGGGTCTGCTCTCCACAACCAACAGTCCCCAACTTTGAAACTTGAGCCAATAATGTTTGAAAACGGGAAAGGAACAAGAACCAGGTTTCCAAGTGGGTGATAGTCGTTACCAATAGTAAAATGATACAGTGTAATATATAGGCTCTTCATATAATAAAAGTTTAGAAGTTTTCGTGTGTGACTACATACACCCCACACAATTAGCCAGGTTATTTGCATGTATCAGGTACGACTCGGCCAATTGTAGTGGCTATCGCCCAAGCATGTTGTCCGTTTAAGCAGGGAATTGAACCCCATATATATCGTATCTTGGTCTTCTTTTTGCAGGTTACACTTTTGTCGCCCGACCAGGACAAATTCACCCCGCTTTTTTACAAAGCCAATACGGGTAAGATAATGTTTATAATGTATTTGTTTACAGTTCTTTTTTTACACTGTGAAACCGAAGCTCTTTTGAGCATGTTGATGATGATATGTGTTAGTGTGTTGAATGAGTGAAGTTTTTTTTTTCTAGCCAACAGTCTACATACACCCCATACCGTATTTTTGCGCTGTCTCACCTTATCATTATTTACTACATAATGCTGAAACCACGATATTTCAGTGACTTATAGAGCTGTGATATTAAAATAAAATTGTTTTTATTGAGTGTTTTATATATCATTAATTGTCTAAAAAAGTAATATAAATATTTTAGCCGACTTATTTATATATAGACTCCGGCAGTCACATGATATGAGCTCTTCTGTCTTGCTTTCAAGCAGGATTCGATGAAGGATGTGTTCGGAAGGAACCGATAGATGACAACACACATATTCGATACTTCAGACATAGCTAATGCAACCATACGCCAAGTGATATCGAAGGTTTATATGTTGCGTTATAAATTTGGATTGAAGTTTGTGACACATTTGTTTTTCTCACACTACTCATCTTTGCCTTTCTTCACAGCTTCGTGTGCTCTTATTATTTGTTAAAGTTTGTTTTTATTATTCTTAGAAAAGTTTCTTCGGGTGTAATGGTTTTCATGCCTTAGTTATTATAGTGCGTTTTTCATTGCTGTGTGTTTTCCCTATGAACTTACACCTTTACCGTCGGGTCTAATTCACTGTATGCACGCAACACCCACGGCATTGTAAGTGGCCAACTGGAAACGGTTGCCACAGGGACGGGGTCATAAACTATATTATGGAAAGTAAAATGCAAGCTTCCTGTCCTACGCATTGATGAGTTGTATGTTCGTCAAAAACCGTCATGTGACTGCGACCCTATGAATAATTATTAACAAATACTGGTAGATTTGAAACATCTGCGAAGACGAAGAAAGTCCGTTGTACTCGTTATTGACACAATTCTGTGGATTTACTTGCCATTAACATGACAAATCCCAAATTTTATTGGCTCTGTCAACTTCTTCGGTCAACATGGTTATTTATCGAAATGTTTTCTGTTTGCGAGAATACACCCGTTAGCCGGCAAGGGTAGGCAAACATGGAGACCTCGCCATGGTACCTATGCTTTCATCACATGGCTGAGCATGACTGAACCTTAATGGAACCTTCGCAAAGTAAAATGAAACACCTTTAACACCGACTGTTCGAGGTCACTTAGAAAAATCTCCCAAGTCACTCTTGTTTTACGTCGAATTTTACGTCTTATGAATTTCAATAAGGCCGAGTTTTTGCGAGGACCAATTGTTCGGTTTTGAAAAGAAAACGAATTACTGCCGTAAAATTTACTTTCAAGTTTTTATGTGTTTGGCAACCTTTGTTGAGAGTGTTGAAAGATCGAGTAAAATAAAAGAAAGTCAACGGAAACAGACGACGTTAAAGTCATGGAGTAATAATCATGATAATAAGAACGTTACAACCACAATCTGCATAAATTATGCTAATTAATCCGGAAGTGTGTTTTTGCGCGTTACCATTTGAGCAGACGACAATGTTGTAAGATACTTCTCTTGGGTAACCAAAACATTTGACACATTTTAATGTTGTGATTGAATTTATTGTTCAAATAAGTGATTTTACAATGTTTTTACACACGTACGGCCATGTTTTTTGGGTACCTGGGGTGGTCATTGGGAGGGTCATGAACTATCCGACATGATTAGCTTGTTTGTTTGTTGAAAGCCATGTACAAGAAACTTGACAGTGAAGTTTGTTTTTAGATCTCGTTTGACGTAAGGCAGGCAAGCAACCAGCATTGTCAATCTCACGTTCAAAGATAAACACCCACTTGGCCACAGAAGCTGGGGGTACGTCAAATGATTTTTCTTTTGAAAAGAGTCCTTCCATATTTGTCTTCTGTTACAGTTGCCTTGGTCCTCTAGCTACGACAGTTGACGTTTTTGCGGCCACTCTATTTCTATACAAATAGTCTACAAATCCCCTCGTGCAACATACATGACTACATTGGCGTTTCCTGCCAGTTTGTTTATCATGACTCCGGATTTGAGGCATTCACCATTCAGTTTTGCGTCAATTCACTGACAGACGAAGTTCAACTACGGTGTCAGATTCGCTTGTAAAAAAACATATTCCAAAGATGACACGTTAGACCAGCCTGTCAAGTCAACATTTCTAGTTCGCATCATGTCAACCGTCCACACGACTGCCTTACTGAATAAACATAGCATAATTGTTCACTAAAATATTTTGCTTTCACAAGTTTGAAAGGAGTCTTACCCTGTGGAGCTTAAGAAAAAGCTACATAGGTGGACGAATGTAGAATTTTGTCACAACCTTTGTTTATGCTGGAGGTGGCCAGAATCAGGTACAAACTAATCAAAGTACTGTGATTCATATCTATATTATGTTATTCCAACTTTCATAGAAATTTTCATTATAATCTGGAGAGTTATGCTTGATTGCCAAACAATGCTCAACTGTCATTTTTATTATTATATCAAAGTTTTCAAATATTTCTGGTCTATATACACTGTAGCCTCGTTATAACAAACACGTCGGGAGACAACCATTTAGTTCGTTATATTGAAGTGTTCGTTATACTGAATGTACCAAGTTTCATGAAGGTTTGAATTTGTTTTATATAACATATTTAATAATATCTATAAATTTAAATGGTGATTAAAAGCAATTTGACCAATCACAAAAGTTTTTAACAAATTTGATGCAATCTATCTTTTGTGTTGTGACAGTATGTCGATGTAGCTCACCCATACCCTTACCAAATTACAGATGAGGGCACTAAAATGATGACATCTATATTACATGACATTATTCTTTAACAGTGCTTCTTTCTTGATAGCAAAGTCTATTAACAATTTAATAAATTGAAACAGAGGTACATTACTTGGGGTTTGTAACTACGGTGACATGATACCAAGATCCCGTCACAATCTCGCTCTCGCATAAGCGTTCCAACTCAGAAGAATGCGCATGCCCGAGGTAACTAGGATACTGGGATGTCCAGGTGGATCAAAATAGCTGCCCACGGTATGACGGATTACGAGAACTATATTTTCTGTACATTTTCGATGTATTATATTTTTCACTATGATAGCGACAAGAAAAGTTTTATTTTTTCATTACAAACCTTGAACATTGATATGTGTCATGTCAGAAGGTCGTAGCCTCAGTCTCGCTATCTACGAGAAGTGACTTGAATGGGATCTTGACATGATGTCACCATACAGTACTATGCGAGTTGCAAACCCCAAGTAATGTACCTCTGATTGAAATAACATGATTTAGGATCTTAAATAAATTTATTTATTGTTTATACTTTTATTTATTATCTTATATTTTGTCAAAGAAAACATAAATTATCCTGTACCTGTGACAAACTTGTGAACAATAGCTGGCTATAGTCAATGCCCTTATCTAGCTTTGTGATCCAATCAACAATAAACAGATTAAAAGCCCTCTAAGTAACTGGTGATTATCATCATTAATAGTATAAACAAAGTTCTGGCTTTCAGAGATTCTGTATTCCATTGCAAACTGTATTATATTCTCTGCTTCTTGATTTGATAATTTTAACAGCATTCATAAGAATGACATTTTACAAGTGACTGAATAGTGGTCAGACATTCTGAAAAGATCCCAAATGAAAGTTCACAGCTACAAAAGTTTCCCTGTGTTGTAAATTCTGTGAACATTTATCTTTCAAATTGAACTTTGAAGCAGTCTACATCATTTCAGTTTACAATAAACCTACATTTTTCTATATAATCCTAGAGTGGTAGGGTATTATCGCTTCCTGAAACCCATAGGAATTATCATTGTGTTTTCTAAGATTCTTTTCAAAAACTGTTCTTTCATTAATATTTATCCCTTTAGGTCAAGAGTCCAAATTGTTTTGAGACTTTCTGTTATGAGTTTTCTTTAGAAAGCCTTGTTTATGTTCTCCAGTTGAATGGATTTGAATTAATATTTGAACTGCATTGCCTCATAAACTTTGCAGGTGTCCTGAAAAACACAAAAAACCAACCAACCAACTTCTTTGTACTTGAATAATGTGGATAGAGTTTGGTGTTCAGGTAATGGTGTCAGCACACATCTGCAATATCTGATCTGGTTGTTTTTAATGCAGAATGTGTGTGAGGTAATGGTAGCAGTAGTTTGGTAGTCCTCATTTAATTAGAATCAAAATCTTCCATTATATGGTAGACATCACTTAATATTTAATAGGGTATGTCAACAACTTCCCTCAAAAATTAAGATCACCAGCTAGCTGTCAGCACATTTTAAACATTCTTTTGATTCACTTTCTGTAGCTGAACTTTATCTGAACTTGAACAATGAAAATTCATGTTCTTAATTTTCTGTTTCACTGCTCTTCATTTTATGAGGGACAGAGGAAACATTCCAAAAGGTTCGTTCCTCTTGGCTGAGCCCATAATCTACAGCTAGTCCTGAAAGTGGTTTTGTATCTCTTGAAAAGCAGATAATGATTATATATAAGTATTTCTGTAATATTATATTATTGACTGTATCACTTTTCTTTCTGTATGTAGACAAATTAGATATTGATAATCATGACGTCACAACTGTGTCAATAAAACATAGCATTTCAGTTAAATTAATAGCTAATGTTTTTTTGACTGAATAATGGTCAGACAGATATTAAAATTGCCAAAGGGATATATAGAAAACAGATGAGACTTCAACCTCACTATTAAAGGGCAGTCTTTGATGATGCCTGTACATTAGATTTGCAATTGAGGCTATTATAGGTTATATAGAATTTACAGCTGTATTTACTAAATGTTCTAATTGAATTATAATTATTCACCCCCCCCTGTAAATCTTTCAGTTTAGATTTAATACTTCTCATGGTTGATTCTCACTGTAGTCAGTATAACAGCTGAGTGCATCTGGTACATAAAGCCACCTACTGCTACCTAATTTAGTCATAGTGTTA